TACAAGAGACACACCTTAGAGATAATGACAAAAACAGACTAAAAATCAAAGGTTGGAAAAAGATATATCAAGCAAATGGCAATTGTAAGAGAACAATAATAACAGCTAACATTACTGGGGGAGCTCTAGTAGCATAATGCCTAAGGCACTTGACTGCTAACCAGAAGGCTGGCAGTTCAAACCCACCAGCCGCTACTCGGAAAGAAGGTTGGGCAATCTACTTCCATAGTGATACTGCCCCAGAAACCCAAGGAGGCGTCGCTATGAGTCAGGTCTGACTCAACGGCACATAACAACAACAACAACATTACTGAGCACTGGACTAAATGCTTTACAGATATTATTTCAATAATTTATATAGATTATTTTGTAACTTTACAAGCAAGGGAACTAATTTCAACACAGAATACTAATAGTTAACTAAAATTACCCCTTATAAAACTTAAGTTTCTATGCAAAAATGAAAATTAACTTGGCTTATGAACTGCAACCAAGAACACCTCAACTCAAACTTAGCAGTACTTCAGATATCAAAACAAATGAAGTTATGAGCGGCCAAATCTCAACTTCAGGCGCTGATGTAGAAACACATTGAAACAAAACAAAGAATTGGTCCTATGATACAGAGTACATCTGACTTTCAATGTGAGCAGAGAGCAAATGGGATCACCTTCATAGAAGTCCTCATCATCTTCGTGTTGATAGGTCTGTTCTTGGATGGGATTCTTCCTGTAAATCCGTCCATCAATTCTTATAAGCTGTGGGCGCAGAACATCCATGGTCCTTTCTTCAAATATTATTCCAGTGAAATCCTGAAAAATAAAGTATACCTTACCTTTCATTTTAGTTAGAAATAAAAACCCTGTCTCTAGTATATGAATCATTATGTAGGCCTAAAACGATACAATTGAACATCAGCTCATAGCCCATCCTCAGCAAAAGAAGCACTCTTTAAGACAACTTAGGATTCCATTTCCATTAGATTTCCTCAATCCCTAAGCTGCTTTAAGTCAATTGCTGCATTTTCTACCACACAATTCCACTGCTGGTTCATTCTAGACAGAAAAGTAATTTGTGAACTGTTTAATTAAAAAAAATAAAAAAGATTAATTTGAAAAGATGCTGAGCTTTTTATATACACCCTATCCATGACTTTGGGAGCTCTGGTAGCAGAGTGCCTAAGGCACTTGACTGCTAACCAGAAGGCTGGCGGTTCAAACCCACCAGCCACTCCTCAGAAAGAAGGTTGGCCAATCCTACTTCCGTAGTGATACTGCCTCGGAAACCCAAGGAGGGGTCGCTATGAGTCGGGCCGACTCGATGGCACATAACAACAAACAACAACAACAACATCCATGACTTTGAAAGAAAAAAAGAGAGATCTCCTTATTACTTTAACCTAAGGGCAGTAAAATGCAACCTTCCGCGGTTATCTACCAATTTGCAAAGTGAAAAAATGTTTCACCCTTCCTAACCAGTATGATAACTAAGACAATTAGGGTTGTTCTGGTAGCATAGTGCCTAAGCCACTTGACTGCTAACCAGAAGGCTGGCAGTTCAAACCCACCAGCCACTCCTCGGAAGGAAGATGGGGCAATCTACTTCCGTAGTGATGCTGCCTCAGAAACCCAAGGAGGGGTCGCTATGAGTCGAGGCCAACTCGATGGCAAATAACAACAACTACAACAACAGAGATATACAGCCCCTGAGTGATGCAAATGACCAATACACTCAGCTGCTAACCCAAAGACTGGCAGTCGGAGTCCACCCAAAGGTGCCTCCAAAGAAAGACCTGGTGATACTTCTGAAAAATCAGCCTTTGAAATCCTTATGGCTTCACAGATCTACTCTGATACATGAGGTCACGATAAATCAGAATCATCTCCAGGGCAAATGGATGATAAAAAGAGATATACATTTAACAACCGGAACCAGTTGCCTCTCAAGAGTGAAAATATGACTTAACCTACTCTACAGACATATTTCTGAAGGGAGGAATACAATTTCTATAGGCCTCTGTGCAACAAACTGTTCATTATCCATCATGCAACCAAGCTTAGAATCAAGAATTTAGGAAACAAAGGTGCCTTACGCACTAGCTGTGGTTAAGTTCAACCAATGTTCCTAGCACATAGCTTGGATAGTCTTGAAGCCCAAAACACTTTAAAAAGAGTTCCAAAAAAAACCAGCTCAACCATTAATAAATACACTAAAGGTCAATCCACCTCTCAGCAAACTAAGTTGTTTTAATTGGTAATTGGCCTGTTTAGAGAACCAAGGAGACTGATTCATGTTGTGAGAAAAAACAGACAGCAAATTGATTTGGATGAAGAGAAAGTATAAATAGCAATAGTTAATGGCATTACATCCCAGTGCACTATTCCCCCAGGACCTCTCCGAAAAAACAAAAGGTTCTCCACCAAAGTTTAATTTAATGTTAAGGTCAGGCCCTCTAATAATTGGTTCTGGAATAACAGGTAGTTGTCTCAGAGACAGCAACTCATCATCTACCTTTCCTGTCTGGCCCTTGGCTGTTCAGAAAGAAAGGAAAATGATCAACTTAACCCTGCTTCGTGGTGATTTGGAAAAGGAGAGAAAAACCCAAGGCCTGGGTTATGAAAGCGAGCAGAAAACTCAGTAAACGAAAGAAATGAGTAAAACTGATCACCACCGCTCCAGGAAAAGGAAAAGCGAACAGAAGAAGGACCCGGAAGCACTCCTGAGAAGCACTTTCCCACATCTGTCCCTGTCCGCCCAGGCCACGCCCACTGCTGTACGGGCGCGCGCACGACACCGACGTGGGTTCCATCTGCGCGGGCGCAAGCACGCTGCCGTCATCGTCGTTGTAAGCGTGACCGCTCCCGCTCGCCCTAGGGGCGGGGCTGTAGGGGAAAGTGCCAAACCCGCTGAGGTGAGTGAGTACACGAGGACCCTACCAGGTAGTTGGGAAGGGAATTGATTTCTGGGATCCTACCTGCAATGACTAGGAAAAGGAGAAGGTAGGAAAAAACCGGATCCTGCCGCAGAAGTGTAAGGAATTTTCCTCAGGCCGCGTCGGACTGTACTGCGCATGCGGGCAGGGGGACGGCGCCTGCGCGATGGGATGGCGTCGCCTCTTTGCTGCCTTAGCTGGCCAGAGTGGTTTGGGGTTAGTTTGTGAGCCGCTCTCGTCCTCACCCTTCCGCTCTGGTATCTTTTCACTCCTTTATCCCGTTTTAGCTGCAACATCTACTGTACTTGATTTAGATTGTAATCTAGCTGTTTTAAGTTCATACAGTGAAATGATTATTTGGTGGAGTGATTATTTGTAATACTTTACATTTGTATTAACAGTAGGAACTTACTTCAGTGACAATTTTTTTGTTAAGGGGACTTTTTTTTTAAAGGAAGTACTCTGTAAGAAAGTAAGGCTATATATCTGCTAGAAAGGAAGTGGTTTCTGAATGCGTGATCATCCCTGTCTTACATGAAAGAAATGTTTAATCATTTTAACAGTTCCATAGCTGTGCTGTGTGCCCCCAAAATATACTTGGCTCTCATATGAGTAGTTCTACTGCTAATAGTCCCAACTTCCCTGATAGCCCCAACGCCAGGTTACTTCATCAATATTTATTCGTTCAACAAAATTTTACTGAGCACCTAATGTGGGCTTGGCAGCCTAATGGAAGAGTTGTTAGCTGCCCTCGAGTCAATTTCTACTCAACAATCCTATGTATAACAGAATGGAGCAATGCCATGTCCTGTGCCATCCTCACAATCGTTTTCTGTGTTGGAGCCCATTGTTGTAGCCACTGTGTCAATCCATCTCTTTGAGGGTCTTTCTCTTTCTGATCCCCTACCAAGCATGTCTTTCTCCAGGGATGGGCCCCTCCTGATAACAGTTCTTGAGCTCCTCTTGTCATCCTTGCTTCTAAGGAACGTCTGGATGTACTTCTTCCAAGACAAAGTTGTTCATTCTTCTGGCAGTCCATGATACAATCAATAGTCTTCACCAACACCGTAATTCAAATGCATCACTTCTTCTGTCTTCCTTATTCATTGTTCAGTGGGAGAAGGAGTTGTATAAATAGATCCGCAGAATGAGGAAGAAAAAGAAAGTAAAGGACCAACTTTCATGACACCACGCTTCCCTATGGCCTGGATAACCTTTGCTGAGTTGCTGGCCCTGTATTCTATCATGTGTTCATTCATTCATTCAGGAAGCATTGTGATCCAGGTTGTATGCAAAGCCTTGATGGTAGAAAGGCGACTCCTTCCCGCTTTCCTAAATCACAGGATTCTTTCTAAGATCATGAACCTTGAAAGTGTGGCATGTATTCCAAACCAAAAAGCTCATTGCTTCTGAGTCAATTCCAACTCATAGCAACCCTAAAAGTCAGAGTAGAACTGCCCCATAAGGTTTCTGAGGTTGTAAACATCTTTCAGACTGCCACATCTTTCATCCCAGGAGTTGCTTATGTTTAAACCACTGATCTTTCAGTTAGCAGCCAACACTTTCCTCTCTAGGAGCTTGCTGTCTTTATGTCAGATGGAGAGAATTAGAATTTTTATAATGAGTAAGTGTGGTGGGACATAAGGATGAAAAACTGAGAGCTACGGGGGGCGGGGAGATTGATTCAAGAATAAATATCCCTTGCAACTTTGGATAGCTAATTGTTAAATGCTTAATATGTCTGTAACTCTTCCAAATGCTTTATCTGTATTAATTAATTTAATTTTTATAGTACCTCTATGAGACAGGTACTTTATTATCCTTATTTCACAGACGAGGCAACAGAGGAACAGAGGTTAAGTGATTGACGTAGGGTTAAATAGTAAATAACAAAACAGGACATGAACCTAGGCAGAAGGCTTCAGAGTCTGAGGTCCTAACCACCATGCTGTTTCACTTGTCACCTGATACATATCATGCCAACACAACCATTGTTTCAAAAATGGCACAGCAAATGAGCTAACAGCATCTCTACACCTCAGTTTTGTTTTGTCATCTATAAAAAGATGACCTTTAAGAAATTCTTTGGTTCCTGTGAAATGTTTAGTTCATTTAGCAAACATTTGCTTAAATAAGCAGCTGCTTACTATAGGCCAGGCATTACCATGTCTAACTCTTCCAAATGCTTTATCTGTGTTACCTATTCACTCTGGTGATTAGCGTGTCTATCCTCACAGGGAAATTACACTAGGTTGGTTGTTAGTTTCACTTAACTCCTATTTATCACTTACTGATAGCATTCAAAATTAAACCCAAATCATATAGTTTGATATGTATAATTTTGACAACAACTAGATAAATGTTTTTTCTGTTTTGTTTTGTTTTTTAATTTTCAGAGCTAGAAAATACTTAAGTGTATCTTTCCACCTCAGCAGAAAGTTGAAGTTAGCATTGTGCTAATTCTGCACTCCAGTTTTCAACCCTGGCTGTTTTGTATATTGAATGACGGTAGTTCTGAGAGTTTGAAAGAAAATAGGATGAAAGGGAATCTTTTGGGTTATATTCAGTGTAGAAGTCACACTGTGGCTAGCTTTTGAAGCTGTCCTCTCTCTGGCAGTTGCTTGGGCGCTCTGCTGAGCTACTGATCTCAAAATTTGAAGTATCTTTTGCATTTGCAATTGAATATAGCATTCATCAGGGTGTAATAAAAAGGTTAAAGAGCCCTAAGTCTTAGTAAGATACATAACAATTCACAGTAGGTTCTACCATGAACTGATAGAAAATAAAGACTCTTGAGTTACTCTCTAAAAGATGGCTAAATCTTCTGATACTTTATTTGAATCCCACCAGGAGTCTACTTAGAGATTGGTACTTTCTCCATTGTAGCTTAAATTCTCTTTAAAGAGCATTTAAAAATTTATCTGTATTTTGACCTGGTGTGGTCCAAAAGATTAGATACAAACCTAACCTGGGAAATTGTCTACTCTGTGAATAGAAATACAATTTGGAAAGTTATCAGTTTAGAGAATAAAGGAAATGTGATCTAATGGTAAGATTGAAAATGTCATTAATCAATTTGCATTTTTAATAGGCTGACAGTCTAATTATAGCATTTGCCTTACTGTTCCTTGCTGTTCCCGTGTCCTACTTCAGTATTAATCAGTATAGACATATAATGAAATCAGAAACCAAGCTCTACTTCTCTGAACTGCCTTAAGTCATCATCACAAATTTAAAGAAATAGAACAGCATTTTAGAATCACATAGTATATCATTTTCCTTGCAAGGAAACGGGTCTATCTATATATGATTCATATCTATATATCATTCCCTCATTTTTTTCTATTTTTCAAAAATAAGTTTCAGCTTTTTATAACAAATGTGTATGTTTTTGCAACTTTCAAAAAAAAATGGAAAAATTCCCCTAAAATTCTTTGTGGCCACTAAGAAGGAAATTCATTTTTAAAAATCCTTTTAAAGTCATCTTTATTATTATTTTTTTAATTGAGGTAAAATTCACATAACAGTAAATTAGCCATTAACAATCATTTTAAAGTATACAATTCAGTATAAAGTCATTTTTTAATCTAAATACTAGGCCTGCACTATCCCATGTAGTAACTGCTAGCCACATGAGGCTCTGGCTACCATACAGAAAAGTGCAAAAGTAGAACATTAGAACATTTCCATCAGCAGAAAGTTCTGTTAAACAATATGGTACTACCCTATTCTTTTTAGATAGCACATAGCACATACTTCATAGGTAATCTCTCGTTAACGTGTGGTGTAAGCTGCTGTGGCAAAGAGAAGCTTCTGGGGACCTTTTTATTTTTAACTTTGGTAAGCAGTCATGTATTCATTTCAAATTGTTCCATTTACATATGGACTTTTTATGTTTTCATTTATTTTTATGACATGGGAATAAACACTCAAACAGCTGCTCTGTTCATAATAGGCATCGATTTCTGAGATCTACTTACAGAGCTTTTTTTTCCAGTTTTGGGATGCCACCAAGTGATACATTTGGGTAATACACTTGGAAGAAAAGATTTAAAAATGTTTTCAATATGAAGGCCAGTATTTCCTAACCAATTACCCTTCTTTGGGAATAGAACACAGTGTTTTTCTGGAATTTTATTTGGAAAATTTTAGAAGTCAATTTTTTGGTGTGGCTTGGTCAGGATGTATCAAAGACAAACTGTGCTATGGAGCCTGGTTGTTTTATCTTCGTATCATATATTTCCTCAGTCAAATTACTGCCTTGACGTTTCCATAAATCACCCACAGTCAATCCCAAGCATGACATAAATGGTTTGCTAATAGTAAGTATTTAAGTGGACAAACCACTCATATTCTTAAACCTATTTTCACTTAACCTAAATGACATTTTGGCCCAGGGGGCCTCAGTAAAAGGTATAGGAGTAGAGAAGGTAGGAAAAAGGGGAGCTATTTCTCTACAAAACTGTATACTGGCCCTTCTGGCAGCTAAATGAAATGTTGCCAGTTTCATGTCCATAAACTTGCCAATTGCTGTTTTTCTTTTTCTGTAGTGAAGTGAGAATTCTACTAGAGAGGAAATGGCTGCCTCTTCTTCATCCTCTTCAGCTGGTGGGGTCAGTGGAAGTTCTGTCACTGGATCTGGTTTCAGCGTCTCAGATCTTGC